CTAAAAATAAGTAAAACGACTAAATTATTCATGCGAGAATATAATTAATAGTGAGCCTATTTATGCGTTCTTGCACTAACTAACTTGTTGTTTACATGTACTTTTAAGGAAAAAATGCTTTGCTTATAATATATAATTATTAAATTTCGAAATTACTGGAAATAATAATTGTATTTAAATTAAAAATGCGCAAAAATTTAATGATTTGTTGCGCTCATTTGTGATAGAAATTAACTTGTATGAATTCAAATAAATTCTGAATTACGTCAAAAAAAGAAAAAAATTTGTTTTCGGTTTACGGTTATTATTGGATGGTAATCTGTAATTGATTAAGTGAAAATTAGTTAAATGCAATTCTTGTTTCTTACTTTTAATAATTTTAAAATGCTTATTAAGTAATTGCCTCTATTATAAATAACTGTAAAATAGATAAAAGGTGACAAAATTGATAAAAAGAAAATCTTCGACAATGGTGGGAAAAATTCGTATTGCAGACTCCAATAAAATTTTTTGCCAGAAACAAATCGAAATCATTGTGCTCATTGCTCACTTGCCTAGCAATTCAGTAATACAGTCGCGAATTACCTTAAACTCATTTTAAACTTAATATGCTTCCAACAGATAAGAAATAAAATTATTCATGCGGCCTTTTACCAAGAATTCGATGTTCATTACCCACCACTGTCCAACGCAACTTATACGAGATAAAAAGCGTTGAATCGCATAAGGAGATCTAGAACATGGCAGATAAATAAACGATATCACTATCCATGAATTTAGAAAGATGATTTATTCGTTTTTCATAAGTGGCACACAATTCAGAAAAAATTCTCAATATTTAAAGTCTTATTAAAGCATTAAGTATAAACAATCAATAGATAATAAAATGGCTTAGAAATAGAGCACAAAGTTGAAATTCAGAGTCCATCGAGAATTACCAGAAGCTAGTAAGATTCTGAAAAAATTTCTGCAAGCTTCGAAAATTAGATCAGATATCTAAACCAATTTTGAAAGCTCTTAAGAAATCATTAGCTTTAATTGTGCCATCTTGGATCCAATTTTCAGACAATCTAAAATTATTAAAGGTGAAATGGAGATGATTCTACGGTCTGCTCTTTATCTTCACCTTTGTCTTTAAGTGACTCGCCGTCGAAAGTTTTTCGCCTTTATGTTCTTATTAGAAGAATTTTCGATCATCCTACCTAACCAAAAAGATTAAATTTAAATTATTCAAATTCAAAAGTATTTTCAAAATTCATTACAAAGAATTTCTGTCGAACATCGATAAAAAGAAATATTATATAATCATATATTATTGTGTAATATTATATATTATTGTATATAATATTATATATTATTGCATATAAATTATATATTATTGCATTATTTCGCATATAATTTATTAATAATTAATAATTTATTTAATCTAAAGATGCTAATTTATTAATTTATCATAATTTATTTGCTTAAATATATTAGTATTACTCGGTGATACAAAAATATTTTTTCTTGCTATCCAACGTATTCATTTGGTATCGTCGGATCGTTTTTGATTCTCTATGAAATTTTTTATGAATTCAAAGATAGAAAACGAATTCTATAGATCGAGGAAGCAGTTTTTTTTGATTTTTAGAAGTACCTTTTGATGTCCTTTCATTATACTTTACTTCTTTAAGATTTATTTAACCTAAAGATGATAAATAAAACAATAATAGTGAAATTTAGTGAATTAATGCATCTTTACTGAAAAGCAAGTAAAATAATTGTGAGTAAGAGTAGTGAATGATTAGTTTTTACCATTTCTGATTAGCTGCATTGATAGTAATTTGAAATCAGAAAATCTTAAAAATATGGATGAGACTGTAGCTCCACTTGCAATAATGGTAATAATATGTTGGCAGTATAGTCCAGAATAGAAAAATTTTTTACAGTATAACAATGTGACAAAGAAGAAATCTGATACTATACATTGGCATCGTTTTCATCGTTCATTTCATCTTATATTTTAAAAAATTATACTAATAAAACATAAATAAAAAAGGTTCACTAAAAAGTCCATTAAATTTGATTAATATAATTATCACTCGATTTTCATCATACAGCAAATATTTGTGGATTATTAAGCCAGAGCATAGGTTCAGCTTAGATTTGCCACGGAAAATTTTCCTAAAATATGACCCATTTTGCTGCAAATGGTTTATAATGGTTAAGTGACAAAATAAAATAAAAGAATATAAAAACCCTAATTAGTTCGTCCTTAAGTCTTTATTCGCCTTTTTTTAAATCAACAGCAAAGAATATCACTTCATTCACTTCATTTTTATTTAATATATGTATAACAATATTCAATAGTTATTTTAGATTAACGAAGTTATTAACCTGTTAAATTTTTTTGACATTCTGAAATTTTTAATAAATTTTTAATAAAACATTTGTCAATTAATAGCTTTGCATGGCGCTGAAATGAAACAACTAAGCTTTATTCAACATTTTCTAAATATTTAGCGATCCTGTTTTTTTGTTTATCTAGTCCATTAGAATAAAGATAGAGAATGATTCGGGAATGCCCAACGTTCATTAAAAAGTCCATTAAATTTGATTAATATAATTATCACTCGATTTTCATCATACAGCAAATATTTCACCAACACCACCTGAATTTTATTTCATTGAATCATTGAACAGATTTATTCACATTATAGGAACGGAGCTGACCACAATCTCTTTCCTCTAAATTTGGTTGTTTGTGGATTTCTGCGCTAAATTTTGCAGTATTTAATCGCAATGATCATAGTTTCTCTTGTTTTTTCTGAAATTTAGAGATATAGCAAAGATCTGTTATCTTTCAGCATCAAAATTTCTTCAAAAACAACTAAATAATCGTGATAAACAATGATTACATTGGCATCGTAATTAAACAACTATGTGGATTTTAGTGCAAAAAATTTGAGTTATTAGCGATTCAAAGATTATTACAATTGATTTACTTAGATTATTCAAATTCACTTTTTATCGTTTCTTCATTTTGCCAAAAAATTCAAATTCTTCTGCTTATCTTAAACCCAATTTCATGTTGGATATGCGAATAATAGCATAGTAAAAAATATTAGCTACGAAAATTTGTTTTATCAACAAACGAATAAGATGATTCTCCCAAGTATGCAGATAAAAGAATAACAGAACAACAGATAACAGAATAACTTGAGAAAATACTCAAAAAAAATTGTGAATAAAAATGAGTTTGAAAATGAGTACTTGTTTGCCTTAGAAAAAACATATTACAAACATAATACAAAAATAATTTCCATAAAGCAATCGTAAAGAAAGCAAATTTTAGCTCTCTCTTTAAAGTTTATCATTTCTTAATCACTTTTTTTAGACTTCTTTCAATAACAGTCATCATTCCTCGCTATCATGTGGATGAGAATACCATTTTGCCAGAGAGCCAACTGGAAATAGAAGTATAATCGCAGAATCACAATATCAACCGAATCATAGATTTGTTGCCAATTTTCACTGAGAAAATTACTCGCTTTGCACTTTGAATTTTAATTATTTTAATTATTGATGCATTAAAATACTAGATTTAGCTATATAATCTCAATCATATTAATTTATTAAGGTAAAAAATTCCTTCTTCTTGTACTCTTAAAGAACATATCAAGGCGGAGCGATATTTTATCGTTTACCTTAACGATTGGTTGTTTTTGTTGATGTACTTTTGATAAAAAATTTTATATAAAGCGAATTTCAATTTATAAATCACTTTCATTACTGTCGTTAGCTTATTTATTAAATTATTTTTTAAGTTTTCTAAATCCATAAATTTTCTCTAGAATCCCATCGTTGATATGCTGTTGATATTTTATATTCTTTTAACTCACGATGTTTCTGATTAGTTTCAATAATTAACTGTTAAGTGAAGAAGAGGATTAGCAGATTACTTGGAAATAGAAGAAGCACACTTGGATATTTTTATGTTAACTCTTATGCATTTCTAGGGAGTAATTTTTGTATGCTGCAAGGAAACAAAGCATTAAAAAGTTTTAAAAAATACATACTTCTCTTACTAAAATTTACAGCGACAAAAATTGCCTTACAAAATTAAATCCAACTTATTTTCCTAGTGGCAAATAGTTCTGATCGTTCCGCACTCCATTCCATTAACCTACATTAAGATAAATATTCTATGCATTACTAATATGTAATATAGAAATTTGTAAGCACATTGCTGCTAATTAAAAGAGATTTTACATTCTATATAATAACAGTGCTAGTTATAAATGTGGTAAATTATGATCTCTAGTTGTCAGTAATAATTGAGGTATCAACCTAGTAAAGCTGAAAGCACTTATTCCAAGATGGCACGTTAATTAGCCGTGCGTTGCCAAATATTCTACCCGTATTGAAAAAAATTCGTATGAGATGTTTTCTAATAAAAAAGCCTTTATAGTGAGATAAAAGAATATCTGAACTGCTGTTTCTGATAAAGCTTAAGTAAATAAAATTATCCAAGCAACCTGGCATGAACTTATTAAATGAGGCTATCATTTTTTGCCATCATTTGCGAAAAATTTTTAGTAACCAAAAATTTTATTTTCTGCAAAAAACAGATTTCTCGTTTTTAATGTGTGTAAAAATTTTTTAAAGAAATATTTGTTGAATATTTTGTATGTTTCATATCTTTTTTTTGCCTCATATTCGAATTCTTTATTTTTTCGTCTCTCTCTAACATCTCCCACCATTCTTAATTGTTTGGCACCCTTGGTTATTGGAACAAACGAGACGCCTAAAATTAACGGAAATTATTCTTTTTTCCACCATCTAAGTAAATTGCTGTACTGCTTATATTTTCCTCTTGAATTTCATTTGAATCTCTATTGAATATCTTCCTCACTTAACTTCGAGAATATGAATGAATGAATATAAAATAAAATAAAATAATGATAAAAGAATAAAAAAATATTTTCAGCAAAACGAATATCTATGATAAAAAGCAAATGCAAGCTCAACTGAAGTTGCTAATAATTTTATTAATTTTCTCATCTTCTACATTCGCTAAGAAGCGTATATGCGGTAATGTGTTGCAAACTTATTTAATGCGGGTATGCACATTTGCATATGAAAAAACACCATGCTTTAATTCAAGGTTTCCAACTAGTAAAGGAATCCGAAGTATGTTTGTTATTGAGAAATATTTCCTTCTTTATAATGAAATTTATATATCTATCTACTTTATAGATTAATAAGATTTTCCGATTTTTTTATTAATTTCAAGTAATTCGAGTAAAACTAAATTCGAGTAGTTCTTCGACATTTATCCAAATTGTATCCATTTAACGCTTTTAATCATTAATAGCTACTGGATAATTGGATTAGTGTTAATACTTAGTTTTAAAATTTAAAAATCCAACGTGTTTTCATAATTTCAGTTATATAATTCATGAATCAAATTCATAAATTTTATGTGAAAACAAATGGAAAGCTTAATTAGAATGATATCAACCTTCAATAAAATATTTTCTCCAGGTAGCAGTGGTCGCACATTTAGTGGCATTGCTAATCGTTGTTGTGAAGAAGGTTGTAACGTTTTGGATATACGAGCGACGTGTTGTTTCAAACTATCTTGCCTTAAACGTTGTTATCCAAATTCTGGATATGATAGAAAGGGAAAAACTGAAGAAAATGATTTTCTTATTATTTAATTCTTCATTTTAAATTATTGAATTCTAATTTTATTTTAAATATTTGTTTGTTTATTTTTTTGACGTTTTTTATTCAATTTGTTTTTAGTCAATTTTTTATATTACAAATCGGAATTATTATGGACGTGTAAAACGATAGTTAAAATAATTAAAACTAATTTAAAATCAAAATTAATATTATTAATATCATTATATTAATATTATGTTAAAATTAATATTATGTTATTATTTTATTGGCCTTTTTTGTATCTTTCAATTTTTAAGAATTTTTAGGAAATTTCTTTGTCAATTTTAAATAAGAATTAATTAGTTGAATAAATTTAGCTTAAATTTTTGATTTTTCATTTAATAAATTTTAAGGCAAAAGTTTTAGGCAAAGAAGACCATTTATTTCATTTATAGTTATTAATTTTTTTTTTAAAAATGCTCACTTTTTCTCGGGCTCGCTTCGTTAGTTTGTTCGACTTCACCCGACAATGAAATTACATTTAAGATTAGCACTGGTTGGATTTCTGAAAGTCAAGTTCCTGTTATCAGAAACCCCAGTATTTCGAAATGAGAGCTGCAACCCATTACCGTTATATCTCTCCTTTATATTTAGTTATTATATATATAATAATTCATGAAGGAATGAATAGCATTTATGATTTACGCTAAACTTATGATTGAATATAGTATTTCTATATAAAAGAACAACGAATATTCGTATCACAAAATATTTAAATGAAATTACGAATATTACAAATTGAATGTCAAAAGATTTTGTAGTGAATCTCGAAACTTTTATAAGTTTAAAAAGATTTATTCTTGAATAGAAATAAGTGACTTTTAATGAAACATATTTTCCAAAATGAAAATAGATTATATATTGGCAAAATTAAATCTTAACTTGTTCATATTTTCTAAATTTCAACTTGATTTATCTCAGTTCAATAATTATCTGCAAAATTTGAATTTTCCTTATCCGTTTTTTTTTAAGCTTCTATGCCAAGTTTTACCAATTTTAGAAAAGTTTTCACGAATATTGTAGAGGAAAAAAATCCGCATAAGATCATAAGATTTTCCAACCACAAATTAATAAATTTCAACTTAACGGGTGAAATCTTCAAGTGATAATAGTATGGACCAAATATTTGGTTCATTGTTGCTGGATCAGTCAAGTAACAAGAAAAATTTTTCATTTTCATTTTTTTCTGATCTCTTAAAATTTATAACCCATTAAGTGGATCTTATTTGATTCTTATATTTAACAAACTGAAATTTTTATGATGAAAATTTTTTTTCATTCAGTTCTTATTATTTTCATTCTGCCAATATATCTCTACTATTTTTATCAAGCATTTTATTTTACTATTTTTGTCGTTTGACAAAAACTTTTCCAAGGTAACTAATAATTTTAAGCATATTGGCAATGAATGCCAATATTTTTATCCAAAAACTTTTTAACGGCTCATTGATAGTAGTTTTATTTATAATGATAAATCATTTTAGAAAAATTTAAACTGCAGTCAAACTGCTTTTTGATTGCTTTTAGCTAACTGCTTATTTACATTAATAATTTGAAAGAACTGTGATTTTGAGAATGAGAAATGGTAAAGAAAGGCAAATTATAAAGCTGTTAATGGAGTTAAATTAGCAGTCTTGAGATTTTTGTTCTTATGATTTTTTTCTTAAGCTATTTGATTATTTTTTTGTCAAAATTGAGTTGAGAATTTTTGCGAGAATTAAAATTTTAATTTTTTTCATGCAACTTTTTGATTCCCTTAACTTGGCATTTCTTTAGGGAACTCTATGTATCTGCCGTATCTTCAATCAAATAATTCTAATTTGACACATATAAATCTTAAGCAGAACCCTTGATAAATAAATGAATTCATTGCACTAAGGATTTACTGCTGATCGTCATCGCTCATTATTTATTCAATGATAAAACGATCTGTTAGTGCCTTCAAGGCATTTTACTACAATGATAATCAAGTATAATTTATTATAACTTCCGGTTCAAAGTCTAACTAATTAGTTGCAGGAAAGGATATGATTTTCATATTTTCAATAATAGTTGTTTTGAACATAAAAACAAAGAAAAAAAGATTTTTAATTTTATCATTCATACTCAGCTCTGCACTTGACGTCAAATATGAAAATAAAAACAATTTAATGATAAATCAACTCGATTTATATATTTAAAATAAAAAGGAACTAAAAAAGACTAATTAATTCTAATTAGTTTCCTCTAACTGAAAAATTGAAATCAATCAAATTATGTGCCGCATTAATGTTATTAGTTTGCTGACTGACCTTCTTTCGTATTTATATTAATGAAATAATTTTTTTACGATTGATTTCAAAGCAATGCATAAATAAAGAGCATTATTTTGTTATGATGGCAAATAGAGATTTAGACCAACTTCATTGTCCAGGAAATTCGTTAAGCTTTTCGGTCTCGTTTTCTTCGAGAAATTCCAAAGTAAATAAGTAAAATTTAACTAAACAGCTTAGGTTAAAAACTTATATTTTAGGTACTTAGCTTAACGTATACAACCAAAAATTCTTTGTTAATCAGGTGCTAGAGACAGTAGCCAAGTACCAGAAACCAGATATTTTGCATTAATAACCAACTAAATGATCAGACGAGATTATTGCCAAATAATCATTAAAAATTCAAGTTGTTTGTCGCTTGAGAGAGAAAGCGACGCATTGAAGATTGCATCACTATTTATGAAGTTTGCAGATCTATATTACAATGATTAAATAAGAAAAACAAGGCAATTTTTTTTAACATACGGTATGGTTGACTTTTTTGACTATTTTTTGCCTTTTTATAATGGAAAATCCGCGCCTATTATGCTTATATGTGTGATCAAAGTTGAGTTCAGACTTTTGATCCGCTGGCTTTTTCTACATTGGAAATTTTTGCCATGGAGTAGCTTTGCTAGAAGTGCAAATGTGCCTCAAGTATCATTCGTATTATTTAATAAATTCGTATTTTTTAACAGGTTTATTCCCTAAGAGCCCTTATTTCTCAATACGATAATCTGCATTTGTTATTATCTGTAGTTATTTGTTATTGTCGAGCATACTTTTCATCATTAATCAGTGGAACCAGCCTAGTAATAACGATGCATGCTAGGGTCGGTTTTTTTAATTCGATAGAAACATTTAGTTGCATAATAAATTTTATATTACCATTTAATCGTATAATACTTCAATGAGGTGATTAAATAAATAGAGAAGAAAAAATTGCTAGCAAATATATTCTTCAAATATATAAATTATCGAAAAAATTAATATCAAACTGGCATAAATGAGCCAGTTAAATTAACATCATCCAACAATCGCTGCATTTGCTTTGTTGATTCAGATGTATAATATAACCAGTAGAAACAATTAAAACATATGAACGATAAAGGAAAGCTCAATTGGCAAAGTTTATCAACCTGAAATATATTTATATATTATATTGAAAAAAAATTTTTTCACCTCCCTGTGGATGGTCATGATGGTGCTCAATCTCGAGTTTTCTACCAGAGGCCTGGAAGATTGCGCAATATATTTGTTCCTAATAGTGCGCTCTTTTATATAGAAATCTCTGATGTTCTTCCTGAAATTTGCCAAAGACACTTTTCTAATTTAAGTATTACGGTTCCCAGTGCTTCAATGGATTTACTTTAGCCTTTACTTTCCACATCTCTAGTCCCTTTTTCAACCCTTGGTACTTCTCTAACTATTCATATTCCTTTTTCCTGACATTCCTGTCGCTTGCTATTGCTATATCAATCACCAGTATTTATTCTTGTATATTATGACGATATCTGGCTGATTGGCCAGTACTTTATCTGTTTGGATGGAAAAATTCCACAGGACCTTCGCCTTATTGTTCTCTACAATTTCCTGAGGAATCTCTCATTTATTCTTGGAAGGTTTTAAGCCATATATCGAGCTGATGTTCCTGCCAGCTACTTGGTCATCTGGCTATCTTTCAGTGTATGTTGTTCCCGATTGCATTTTACTTCCTGCCACTATTTGTTAGTCCATTTCTGGAGCGTTTTTGCTCAGTTTGTATCAAGAGTTCTGTCTAGTGTGCCAAACCTTTGTTTGGATGGATCTGACGCTTAATGCTTGCTCTTGTGCTGCTTTAATCAATTCAGTAATATTGTCTTTTAGTCCAGCTTTTTTGATAAGATTTCACAATCAGCTAGTTCAACTATCTGTCGATTGTGCAATAATGCCTTTCAGATATTTTCTTACCAATTCACTTGATATATCAATCTTACTGATATATTTCCGAATACTATGAGTTTTGTTCAAGATAGTAGATAGTAAATAGCCCCATCCGCCTTCTTTACTGCTAATGTATAGCCTTTGGGTATTGCATTTTGAAATCTTTCTGCGTACATTGTTAGGAGTTCCCTGGTCTTTACCCCCATGTCTTCCTTTGTCCATCATACAATACCACCTGTCTATTTGATGACTGGCAGAGCTTATTGATGGCATGGATTCTTCCCACTGAGCTGGCTTCAGGATTAGTCTTATTCTTTGGTTGTCGTATAATTAGATTTTGCAATATTCATTGCCCCCTCATCGTGGTTATTATGTATTATGTGACTGTGAGAATGCCAAAGCACTTGTAGTTAATATATAAGTCCTGATAGCAGTCTCATTAGTCATTATTACTTTTCTATACTATTATCCGGCCGCATTTCTCTGATCCGAATAATATTCCAATGTCCTTGCTGTAGATTTGAATTTTATGGATAAGCGAGTTAATATTTCGTTTAATATTCCACTTTTTGCATATAACTTGATGTCATCTATGTAGAGAAGATGGCTGATAGTAATCCCTCTCTCTGAAATGGTAACTGAAAGGGTTTAGACCTATATAATAGAAGAAACAATACATTGCTTTGGTATTTTTTAAAAGATCATGGCTGTAAAATAGCTCTTTTTTAGCTAGAAAAGAAACCAAAAATAGCAAAGAAGCGCGGGGGTTTTTTCTGACA